ATAGTAGAGTGGGCAATTTTAATTTTGTGTTTTAAAATTTGAGAATGTGTTTTCTCAATAATGGATACTTTAGAAGAGTTTGTAACTATCAAGATGATACTTGAAGGATGAAAAGTAGGACAGTTTTTCTTAAAAAACTACAGAAAAGAATGCAGAGAAAGATCTTTCATTCACCCACTTCTATGGTGACACATGGTCACAGTATGTCCTGGTCCATCTAGCTCTCTGCCCAGTCCACATGAGCCCTGCAGACTCGGCTCTCACAGCCTGAGGTACCCTCCGCCAACCAAAGCAGCTTTGGAATCTGGTATCAATTAGTGGAGGAAATTTATATTTCCTCAGCTTTTGAATAGTAAAGATGGATATTCCTGAGAGAATATAACCACATGTTTGATGTTTGGGAAGAGGAAATTGGTTTTATTGGAAAGGGATGAGAAGAGGTAGAAGAATATCATGCTTAGGGTCATAAAACTTTATTCCAGGTCCAGGATCACATACTGGTGTGGGAATTTCATCCATGTCTTTTCACTATTTGAAACTAGGTTTAAAATAATATCTGTTTCTATTCATCTGTTTCATCAATATGTAGCTCACCTCTAAATGGAGGCCCCTACTCTTACTAAGTAAACCTTGATTTAGTTTTTCATCTTGGTTCTTAGGGGTTCTTAACCTAGGAAACCTATAACCTCAGTAACCTTCAAAAATGATTTATCCTCAAACAATCTGTTTAAACTTAAAGTCATAGCTCAAATTATTAATTTCTGGAGTTTTTTCATAAATTTCACATTTATAGAAACCAAAGAGTGTGATTTAAGGCCTTTAAATAAAATATTCAAAATTCCTGATTTATCCTAAGTTTAAAAGTCCAAACTCATATTTCATTACCAGTCCCTCTCAAATTTTTTAACAGAATCTCTGGGAAGAAATGGGGAATATCTCACTATCCTGATGTACAAAACATTCTAAATTTTACCTAAATTTTTATGAAAATCCACTGTTTAGTGGCACATAATTTGCAAAACCCAATAACATACAGTAATATAGTGAAATGAACTTTCAAAAGCCAAAAATCAGAGCCCCAGCTGACACTGAGAATATGATATGAATCTAGTAATATGTACCGAACTATACCATGTCTGCTCTCTCCATGAAAGAAGGTCCCTGGAAACTTCAATATTTTTGAAATGTTTGTGTTTGTTTTGGAACTGAAGCTACCGTGGGATGGTGTCGGTAACCTCAGGTTAGCAAGCTCCTTTAACTCCCACCTGCAGCACCCCAGCGGTCCGGGGACTTCCGAGTTCACTGCTGCAAGCACATAGCGTGGTGAATCCTGAGGCTGATGGAAACACCCATCAGCTTCTCTCCCATGTTGTTCTGGGTCCTAGACCACAGGCAAATGTGGGGTCTCAATGGACATGCTCAATGGACATGATTAGTCTCTATATGCAAATCTGGCAAAATGTCATTTTCTCTCTTCTATATACTCTATCCTCAATTAAACGTCTAGAGCAATATTAAACGTTCTATGAGCAATATTAAAAATACTGGTTGATTTTAACAAAACTTTCATATATGCAATAACTTCTGCTTTTAATCCTGTAAACTACTTACAATCAGTGAAAACAATTTTTTTCTCAACTTATGTTTGTATAGAACCGAGACGTTCATACCACACTAACTGTAAGGAGACTGTATGGGCTCTCCATCTTTCTCCTATAAGAGGTCATCAGTTGAGATATGATTACCTGAGACAGTTCAACAATACTTACCACATGAAACAGCTTTACTGCTTCCTAAGTGGCAAATGATCGTGAAGTGTGAAATAATATCTCGCAATAGAGATCTAAGATCTTTGTCATTGCTTAGAACTGCTCATTTCATATGGCTATACATGGACTGCAGACAGCATGTAGGACTTTATCTGGGTAACAGTTAAATCAGCAGACCCGTCTCAGTTTAAGTAGGAACTCGTGATGTTTAACAACCCACTGGCATATTTTTGAGGACTACGGCATTTCTTTTGATGATGCTGATAATCTTCAAATTCTTGTTTATTGCCATTGAATATCTCCCTGTGCCGGTCTTTTAATTTAATTTTTTTTGCCTGATATGCTGTCTTTCAATTCCCTTGCCATACAAAAAGCTGACATAAATAAACTTCAAAATCTTTAAAGGCAAAGACAATATCTGGGTCATTCTTACTGAATTTTCATCCTGCATTATATTTGTACTTAATAAATTTCATTTGATTACACATCTGTTTGTGTAGGTAGTTTTTTTTAATGGAAGGCAATGCAAGGTGAGGTTAAAAATATAATCACTAGCATTGAAAAGATATGGGTTTAAATCTGAATTCTATCTTCCACTAACCCTGTGAACTTGGGCAAATTAGTTACTCTCCTAATCTTTAAAAGAAATATAGTAGTAATATATGTCACATACAATTTTTTTTAATAATCGAGTTAAAGTATGGAAAGTACTAGCACAGCGGTTGGTTTACATATAGAGGGAATATCCAGTTGAGTGAGAAACAAGTGTGCATGCAAGTGGGCATGGGGGGAGCCAGTGAGTCTGGGGAGATAAACGGCAACACTGGGCAATGTAACTGTACCAGTAAATGAACACTTCAACATCTTTACAAAGAGGGCTTAAGACACACGTTTTCAAAAGTGCTTGTGTTGTTCTCAAGGTACTGGTTTGTGGATATTGCCATTATGCTAAGTGGTTTCATTCCATGGTACATATCTTGGGTTTTGTATGTAAATATTGGCTTACTTGTCAGACCAGGGCTAAATCCTCTATTTATATGCAACATTCAGTGGAGTGCTTAACACAGAGTAAGTGCTCAAGGCAAACTTGTTAAACTGAAAAATCTTTAAATCACAAAGTGTAGTAGCACAAAATACAAATACATCACATACTTTAAAAAAGCACGATGATGCCTATTAAGGGAGTGTGTGTGTGTGAGGATACAGGCACGCTCACAAATTAGTGTGAAACAAAGGCAGCTCCAGGTAGAACCACCACATCCTTGAAGTAACAGTTAATATCTCGCAAGTGTTAGTCCAAAGTCTTCTCATAGATGTAGGTGTAGTTCAGAAGATCTTTCTACTCAGATCTAATGTTAGCAAAAGATATTTGCTGGGCTTATTTTTAGCTACAGGCAAGTCATTGGAGACCTTCCCACTGTAGCTTGTTAAAAGAATCATTAGAAAAGTCAGTCTCCATTGCTAGGCTCATGCAAGTTTCTCACGGTTTTTTGTCTACGTATGACTGAGTGAAGACAAACAGATACCATTACTCTTGGAGCAATCACTTTCAAATTTGACTGAATTTTCTTTTCTTTCCCCTATCCACAACTCTAGTGGAATATATAACACTTTATATGTGCGATTCATTGTGACATAATCTGAGATGTTTCTTGATTGAAACTAGACAGTTAGGTCACACATCTTGTTTTCCATTATCTTCTGAGTGTGAGCAGAACAAGTCTGAAACTGAGGCATGTAAGATACAAAAGTCTTCTGACCAGAAGTTCCTAAATTGAAATTATTTTCTACAAGGTGTGAGCAACTGTCCCGAAGGATTCTGATGTCAGTGAATAAACAGTGGGCTGGGAAGGGACACAACACCCTTGACTCATCAGTCAAAAACACAGCACTCTCTTTTTTAACTGAGGTGACCCCTAAATAATAGACAGATTTTTCATCATTATTTTCTTCAGAGAAATTTTCCTCAGGGTTCAAAAGTTTATCCAATCCTTCTGAGAATGTAAGGTGCGGTGAAATTATATTGGGATGCTGATCTGATAACATTAAAAATGCCTGTGTTTCTAGATCCCATGAGAAAGAATCCTTTGATAGAGAATTCTTGCTAGAGAAACATTTGCTGCCTGAGCTATTTTTAAGCCCTTCCTCGTCATCAGTTGCACTTGATTTAGAGTTGCAGAGCAGGGTGGCATATTTAACAGAGGGTTGGCTCCTGCTTTCATCCTCACAGCTTATCATGGCGCACTCAGCCTCAGACAAGCTGGCACTATTGCACTGGTCATTCACACTAACAGAACCCTTTCCAAGATCCGGAGTTGACAAAAGTAGAGAAACCATAGTTGTTGGTGCCTTCTCATCTTTATTTTTCCATGATGTATCAACACTGATATCTTCTGAAATGGTTTCGGGCTCCAAAAGAAGAGGACCAAATGTCACTGATTCTGTATGCTTGATAAAAAGATGCTCAAATGTTTCTGGCTAAAAGAAAAGACATATTTTAATGTTCAATTGTATTACTTTTTTTTTTTTTTGCTTTTTGCTTCACTGACATGCTTGCAGAAATGGAAGTGTGAAAAGTTAATGCTAAAGGACATAAGTCAACCCAAAATTAACTAGTTTGGGACTGACACAGATATATCAAAAATCATAAAGGAAAAGTAGTAGATAATGTTTAAAAGTAGAATGAGACTGATTTAGGTCTGAGTCCTATTTCTGTGGCCACGGACGAGGACATACTCTGCCTTTCATTTGAGTTGCCTCATCTGTACAAACATGTTCAATGCTTACTTCATGATACTGTGGTGAGGAGTAAGTTAAATAGTGTCCAAAAGTGCTTAGCTCTCAACAAACATTGATTTTTGTAATTAGAAAGTGCTGTCTTCTGAAGAATTCCTAATATTCAATAGCAAATTTGATCTCCACAAACTAAAAATTTAAACCTCAACTAAAAGTAAATTGAAATAAAATCAATTGAGCAAAAAACTTAACCCCCATGACATAAGATATAATGTGAAGGTAAAGTATTTGTGACTACTAACAACTTATCTGCCTTATATCATACTGAGAATTTTTTGAAGACTATCAGAAAATATTAACTCAGAATACCTATGTGTTGAAAACAAAGGTGAAAAAGATGATCACAGACATTTAAATTACCATTCCTTAAAATAACTTCATATAAAAATACATAGTATGGGACATGTGAAATGAAGACAAAGACACAAAAGCAAATGCATATCATTTTTTATCAGAATGGTGGTTATAGCACAAGAAAAAAATCCTCCCAAGCATCTACATATCAAGAATATGTGTGCAAAAAGCGCAACTCATACAGTGTGAGCATACTGAAAAACATAAATGCAAAGTAAAGAATACTGTGGACACATCACATTGAAAAATTAACACAATTAAATGAAGTCCTATAGAAAATGCGATCAATTTATATATCATACACATAATTGAGGGTTTAAATATTAGAATTTTGAAACTAATGAAGTGAATTGAGATTTATTGCCTGAATTCAAAATGGCAAATCTATGCTGTACAAAAATGTAATTGATTTAGTATAGTTTTGAACTCTTAAATTATTGGTGATTATAACCATAAAAGAATAAATATACCAAACACTAAATATAATAATAATGGAATAGATTTCTATAGACATTAAAACGCTGCAGGACAAATACCATGTTAGCATAACCTTTTCTGTTATATAAACATAATAATTGAAGAGACATTGTTTCTGACCCTATTTTCTGACAGAAATTTATAATTGGATTCATGTTTTCCTTCAAATATTTGCTTGCTTGCTTGTCTTGCTTTTTCTTACGGTTACTACTATATATGTACTGAATTTCTTAAAATTTAAATTAACCTAGAAATTAAGATCATCAAATAAGGGAATTACATACTGTCAGTGTGTAAACAAGATATACAGATGGCTCACAGTACGCAGTCAAACTCAGGTGACATGTTTCGCGTATTTCATGCTCTAAAACTTCACACCTGGTAACTAATTATTGACACCAAATAATTTACATGGCATCAAATACATTCATTTTGGATGGAAGATTCCAATAATAATTAATTAGAAATCACATACCCCTATATTATTGAGCAATATTTTATGAGTGGGTCATAAGCCTTTATTAAAAGTATAGTCATTAAAAATAACTTAAATTACTATATTTATCTAGTCTTTTGAGTTTAGAACAGTCTGGGAACATACTAAATATGTGTACGGGTATAGGAAATAAATATATGTAAAGTCGATGAAGGGGAAAAAGGATACAGTTCTCCTGATAGTTTGTGTTATTTTTTTACATTCAAATAAATCTATGAATAAAATCTAAATGCAAGTGATCCATGTATCGCCTAAATTTGAATTATTTTTTTTGGTTCATCAAACAAAAACTTTGGTTTATTTTGAACGAGAGCAAAATAGCACAGTGAGTATGCTAAGTTCATAAAAATAGCAGGTGGTCTTTTTCAGGGAGAAAAGTCCTGTCCTCACCATGAAATATTTGTAAAAGCTCCAAAAAAGTCTCATTTTTTGCATCACTGCACACCCCCTGCCTGCCAGAAGCTTTGAGAGGTTCAGTATAAATAAGTTAAAGTCAGGCAAAAATTTCACAAGGAGGCTGAAGTGGGAGCTTATATGTTTTCTAGCCAATCTGACCTAGATATGTTGGGTCGTCTTGATAGGAACTGTAACTTCCATTGGCCTGTGACCAGCACCAACTGTAACTTCCGGCTTTCTTTGAAATGGGATGGAAGTTAGCACTTGAGCCATTTTCGAGGCTATAGAGAAAATGGAAATTCCCAGACTGACCACATTGAAATGTCTAGAAGAGAATATAAATGAAAAATTTGGGCCATAAAAGTATAAACTAAATACTTTTACTGCATTCTGTAATTAGAGTCAGTGTATTTGCAAAGCTATGTGTCAGAAGCTGCTGTTTTCACCTACTTACAGCATTGTCTACCCCATATGCAATGATATCTAATGAATATATAGTAATAGCAACACTTAAAATTTTTCAATGTTTTATGACCAAATGATAAATCAAAAGCCAGATATCATGAATGCTGGTTTTTAAACTTTAGATGACCTAAAAAGTAATCATACATCCAAAGTGAATTGGACTCAGACCCTTATCCTGGTCCCAAATTTACCCAACTCTTTTTAGTTTTAAATAACATAATCCATCATATTTTAATTCTAAATCAACATAATCCATCATATTTTAGTTCTCCCCTTCTTCAAAGCGTAAGAATCTTCTAATACTTTATAGAATGTTGGGAAGTTGGTACATTTGGTTCATCTGTAGTGATCATGATTAGACTTCAAAGAATGTCCGTACTCTGTTTAGATAAAATAAAACAAAATAAGAAAAGAAAAATAAAAAATTACTCAAAAAAGAAAAGATAAAAGATTTCAAAACACTTTTCTGGCTGGCATGGGTTCTGGACTATAACTTCTTGTGTTTTCTTACAGTACTACATCTTTTTAAAAAAGGATAAAATTTTAAACTAAGGTGGCTTCTCCTACTTTCTTAATGTGTGCCTTAATATAACTCTCTGAAGACGGTTTCCCAGCAACAGAAAAACTGTAGAGGAATAACATAATAAATAAGAGAGAGAAAAACAAAGAGCTGGAGCAATAAGAAGAGTGTGGGGAACGATAGAAATATCAGATAGTTTGGAACAAGAAAAGTAAAAGAATAAAGCAGTGAAAACAAAAATGAAAAATTATGAGAAAAAAGGGCTGAAATAGTGAAAAACAGAATCATTATTTCTTTAAACTAGAAAAAAGATCTAAGAAATCACTTTGATATAACTATTCAACTACACATATAGCTATATGCAACTATTCAATTATATATATAGGTATGTACAACTATTCAACTGTATATGCAGCTATGTACACCTATCCAACTATATGTAACTATTTGAAATATACAGTAACATATATAGCTCTATACAACTATTCAACCATATATACAGATGTATACTACTATTCCACTGAATATATGGCAGCCTCCTACAACTATGTCATTCTATATATAGTTATTCAACTATACATACAGCTATTCAACTTAATATACAGAAGCTATATACAACTATTCAACCACATATACAACTATATACAACTATTCTTCTCCCCCAAAGAAAAAAAGAGAGAAAAATTATCTGGTCCATGTCTTCCCTTTCTTAGACAAAATAATTGAATCTTAAAGTTACAGAGCTAATTACAGCAGAGTGAGGACCCTAAATTAATTTTCTTTCCAGTCCAACAATCTGTATAGAACAATGGAAGATGAAAAGATAATCCAAACACAAACAGTCAGGAGAACATATTTTTTGCTTTGCTTTTTCTATTTGCTGTGATCAATATGAGCTAATTAATTCATACTCTCTTCTGGTTCCTTATAACCTAAGGGCACATGCATAAACAGTAAGAAGAACAAGAACATAAACAAAACCAAAATGATATTTTAGGGAACTGGAATATACACTTCTAAGTCTAAGTAATTTGCACTTCTCAACAGAACCTCTCAATTGCGCCCGCTTTCCCACACTTCTGCAAAGCCACACTAGCAGTGTCAGGGTGCTCTGCCTCAGAGCTGAGGGCGGCTCTTCCACAGGTTGACGAGTTTCTTCTTTGGAGGCCTATGGAAGGCTGAGGGATCTAAAATAGTCTTCAAATCAAAAGGAAATGTCCATTTTGTTTTAGCTTTAACACTTCAAAAGGTTGTTAAGTAGAGTGTACTCTTATGGAACCTGACATAAATGCAGACAAAAAATGAGCAGGGTTAGGTTTAAAAATACTGATGATTTGGAATTACAGAAAGAAAATCACAGATTAGGCAAAAATGCTAAAGAAAAGGATAAAAATTGGTTAAAGTCTTTGAAACACTGAAATTGGAATGAGAAGAAAAGCAAGGTTGAGTCACTACAATATGTTTTCCTACAATACAACTCAACCTTTGTCTAATATTCTTATTTTTACTTTATTTTAAAATTATTTATTGAATTTATTGAGGTGACATTTGTTAATAAAATTATATAGGTTTCAGCTGTGCAATTTTATAATATATCATCTGTATATTGTATTTTGTGTTTTAAAATCCTGATTTCTAAAATATTAAGAAAAATGATGTAGAGAAGTAATCTCATTCAAGAAGGAAGATTGGGCATATGTGTTTCTCTCTCATCTCTGTAAAGACTCTGTTAGAATTAAAAAATACATGAATAAATCAAATAACCACAACAAAGTCAATAATCTGTGAATGCTAAGCGGGAATGAGATTTTGAATTATTTTTTAATGGAAAACTTCTCAATGAGTGTAGACCAAAGATGATGAGCATAGGAAGCTACAGACCCGAATGTCTCCTGAGTAGGCTATAGCTGAAGAGAAAGTCAGTTTGCCAGGTTCAATGCAGTGGAGATAGTGGGTGAGGAAAGGACAGGCAAAAACAGAAGAAGAGGTGAAAGCTGAGGCAGAAAGTAAACTCTGCCTATGGAATGGGGCTCTTCTCCTCCTCTGCTGCACATGGAAGAACCTTCATATTAGAATTACCCTCCACACTCAACTTGGAGATTTTCTTTTAAAAAGTAATTAAGGGAAACCTAACCCTGCATCTAAAAGAACTAGAGGAACAAAAGCAGAGCTCGGAGCAAGTAGAAGGAAAGAATCATGATCAGAGGAGAATTAAATAATATAAAACTAAATTCAAAAAATCAATGAATTCAGGAGCTGGTTCTCTGAAAAGATCATCAAAATTGACAAACCTTTAACCAGATTCATCAAGAAAAAAAGAGGAACCAAAAAAATAAAATCAGAAATGAAAGAGGAGAAATAACAACTGATACCACAGAAATACAAAGGATTGTAAGAAATTACTATGAACAACTATATACCAAGAAATTAGACAACCTGGTCAAAATGAATACATTTCTAAAAACATACAATCTTCCCAAACTGAATAAAAAAGAAGCAGAAGACCTGAGCAGATCTATAACAATCAGAGAACTTGGAGCAGTAATCAAAAAACTCCCAACACACAAAAGCCCTAGACCAGATGGCTTCACAGACAACTTTTGCCAAACATTCAAAGAACTAACACCAATTCTTCTCAAACTATTCCAAAAAATTCAAAAAGAAGGAAAACTTCCAAATTGCTTTTAAGAGGCTGGTATTATACTAATTCCAAAACCAGGTAAAGACAAACAAAGAAAGAAAATTACAGATCAATATCTCTGATGAACGTAGATACTAAAATACTCAACAAAATACTGGCAACTGCATCCAACAATACATTAAAAAAGATCATATACCATGATCAAGTGGGATTTATTTCAGAGATACAAGGATAGTACAATGTTCACAAATAAATAAACATAATACATTACATAAACAAAATGAGGGACAAAAATCACATGATCAATCAATAGATGCTGAAAAGCATCTGATAAAACCCAGCACCCCTTTATGATAAAAACACTCAGCAAAGTGGAAATAGAGGGAGCATTCTTCAACATAATAAAGGCCATATATGAGAGACCTACAGCCCACATCATACTCAATGTGCAAAAATTAAAACCGTTTCCCTTAAGATCAGGAATAAGACAAGGGTGTCCTCTTTCACCTCTCTTATTCAACATAGTATTGTAAGTCCTAGCCACAGCAACTAGACAAGAGGAATCAATAAAGGCATCCAAATTGGAAAGGAGGAAGTAAACTGTCATTGTTTGCAGAAAACATGATAGTAGTGTACAGAGAAAACCCTCTAGGCCCCAGCAAAAAACTACCATATTTTAGCTTGGGCACCTAGTGGACAGCTACAGACCATGTTCAAACACTACCTCCCTGGCCCTGCCAAGCTGATCCTTCATGGAGGGTAGAGGTTGGTGGTTAGTCGTCACTGCCAGTCCTTTCAGCTGACAGGCCTGTGTAAATCCCTCCCAATGACCTGCCAACAGCAATCAAGGCTCAGCTACAACAGGAGGGTATACTCAGCCCACACAAAGGGTGAACCTTGCTTGAATGATAGAGGAGGCTGTGCCGATGGACCCTACAGGACACCTACTACATTAGGCCGCACTACCAAGACGGGGAGTTGTAGAAGCTCTACCTAATACACAGAAACAAACACAGGGAGGCTGCCAAAATGAGGAGACAAAGAAACATGGCCCAAATGAAAGAACAGATCAAAACTCCAGAAAAAGAGCTAAACAAAATGGAAAAAAAACAATCTATCTGATGCAGAGTTTGAAACACTGGTTATAAGGGTACTCAAAGAACTAACTCAGTGAGGACCTCAACAACATAAAAAAAGATCCAGTCAGAAATGAAGGATATACTAATTGAAATGAACAACTTACAGGGAAACAACAGTAGAATGGAGGAAGCCGAGAATCAAATCAATGATGTGAAATGAAGATAAGCAAAAATCAACCAAAAAGAACGAGAAGAAAAAAATCCAAAAAAACTGAGGATAGTATAAGCAACCTCTGTGACTACTTCAAGAGCTCCAATATTCACATCATAGGAGTACGATAAAAAAAAAAAACCTACCATATTTTTGGACCATAAGACACATCTAGGTTTTAGAGAAGAAAAAATAGGAAAAAACTTTTTGAAACAAAAAATGTGGTAAAATATTTATAACATAAATAACATAACATTTCACCAGTGTAAATGTAAAGCTACACTCAGAATATAAGACACACCCCCACTTTCCTCCCAAATTTGGGGAGAAAAAATATGGGAAGTGCGTCTTATAGTCTGAAAAATAAGGTACTCAGCCTAATTATTGAATTTGAAAAGTAGCAGGATACAAAGACAATATTCAGAAATCAATAGTATTTTTGTGCATCAGCGATGAACTACTAGCAAGATAAAATTTTTTTAAATCCAATTTACCATAGCAACAGCAAAAAAATAAAGTACTTAGGAATAAATCTAACCAAGGAGGTAAAAAACCTGTACTCAGGAAACTGTAAAACTGAAGAAAGTATATAGTTTCCTGAAGAACAGGAAACTATAGACACTGAAGAAAGAAATGGAGGAAGATACAAATAAATGGAAGCATATGCCGTGTTCATGGATTGGAAGAATTAACATCATTAAAAGGTCCGTATTACACAAAGCAATCTATAAATTCAACAAAATTCCTATCAAGATTCCAATGACATTTCACAGAACTAGAACAAATATTTCAAAAATGTGTATGGAACCACGAAAGGCCCCGCATAGCACCAGTAATCCTGACACAGAAGAACAAAGCTGGAGGAATCATGCTGCCTAATAGCAAACTACACTATAAGGCCATAGGAGTCAAATCAGTACAGTACTGGCATAAAAACAGACACATAAATAATGGAACAGAATAGAGCACTCAGAAATAAACCCACAACTTTATAGTCAATTACTATACAACAGAGGAAGTGAGCACATACAATGGGCTAAAGCGAGTTTATTTAATAAATGGTATTGGGATAATTGGACAGATAAGCACAGAAAAATAAAACTAGACCACCTTCTTACACCATACACAAGAATAAATTCAAAATGTACTAAAGACTAAACATTAGACCTGAAACCATAAAAACCCTCAAAGAAAACATAGGCAGTAAAATCTCAGACATTGCTTACAGCAATATTTTTTTCTGATGTAGCTCCTAAGGCAAGGGAAATAAAAGAAAACATAAACATATGGGACTACATGTTTATGGGAAAGTTTTTGGACAGCAAAGGAAATAAATAATCAACAAAATAAAAAGACAAGGCACAGGATAGGAGAACAAAATTACCCTCAAATTTGATAAGGGGCTAATATCCAAAATTTGTAAGAACTTATAAAACTCAACACCAGAAAAACAAACAATCCGATTAAAAAATGGGCAAATTGGGACTTCCGCCAAGATGGAGGCGTAGGTGGAAGCACTGTGTCTTCTCGCACAACCAAGTTTAAAAACAACAAATTTTGAGCAACAAAAACACAGCCAAACCACAGAAAATTGAACTACACGGAAGTCTGACAACAATGAACCCTTCGGCCAAACCGGTAAGAGAGGCAAAGCCAGCAGCAGAGTGGGGTCAGGCAGGAAAGATCCACCAGACTGACCCAGGCATGTGACCCAGGTGCACCAGTAGCCGTGGGCAGATCCCAGGTGTGGAGAAGTGGGCGGACCCACTGATGGCTGATCGTAGTCACACATTCGCACGCAGGTAAACTGGTGAAGGAGCTAGCAGTGAGATGGACCACGCAGGCCCCAGCTGCAGGAAGAAGCAGCAGAGGGAACCACCATTGTCCCTCTCTGACCCCGCCTCCACATACAGCATCACAAACCAGTAACCTGAGTGGCCCCGCACTGGTGAACACCTAAGGCTCCGCTCCTCATATGTAACAGGCACAAACAGATCAAAACATAGCTCGAGAACAACTCAGAGGCTCAGAGCCGATATATCTAAGCAATGAAGAAATAGCAAAACTTTCAGATGCACAGTTCAAAGCACTGGTGATCAGGATGCTGACACAATTGGTCGATTTTAGTCACAAATTAGAGAAACATATGAAGACTAAACTAATTGAAATGAAGGGAAATGCATAGGAAACCAATAGTGATAGAAAAGAAACTGGGATTCAAATCAAAGGAGTGGACCACAAAGAGGAAAAAAATGACCAAACAGAAAAGGATGAAGAAACAGGAATTCAAAAAAATGAGGAGAGGCTTAGGAACCTTCAGGACATCTTTCAACGTTCCAACATCCGAATTATAGGGGCACCAGAAGGGGAAGAGGAACAGCCATGAGTGGAAGACTTATTTGAACAAATAATAAAGGAGAACTTCCCCAAACTGGCAAAGGAAATAGACTTCCAGGAAATCTAGGAAGCTCAGAGAGTCCCAAAGAAGTTGGACCCAAGAAGGAACACACCAAGGCACATCATCGTTACATTAGCCAAGATGAAAATGGAGAGAATCCTAGAAACAGCAAGAGACAAGGGGACAGTCACCTACAAAGGAGTTCCCATCAGACTGTCAGCTGATTTCTCAAAAGAGACATTACAGGCAAGAAGGGGCTGGAAAGAAATATTCCAAGTCATGAAATCCAAAGACCTACATCCAAGATTGCTCTAACCAGCAAAGCTTTCATTTAGAATGGAAGGGCAGATAAAGTGCTTCTCAGATAAGATCAAATTCAAGGAATTCATCATCATCAAGCCCTTATTATATGAAATGTTAAAGGGACTTACCTAAGAAAAAGAAGAGAAAAAAGATGAACAGTGAAAGGACAGCAAACTCACAGTTATTAAGAAAGACACCTAAAACAAAAGCAAACTAAGAGGATAGCTAGATCAGGAGCAGAATCATAGAAGTAAAGATCACATGGAGGGTTAGCAACAGGGGAGTGAGAGAAGGAGAAGGGGGAGAAGGTATAGAAAATAAGTAGCATAGACTGTAGGTAGAAAATAGATAGGGGGAGGGCAAGAATAGTATGGGAAATATAGAATCTAAAGAACTTGAGACACGTGGTCATAAACTAAAGGGGGGAGAAGGTGGGGGAGGGGTATGCAGAGTGGAGGGGAATGAAGGGGGGAATAGAACAACTGTAATGGCATAATTAATAAAATATATTTAAAAAAAGAAAAAAATGGGCAAAGGACCTGAATATACACTTCTCCAAAGAGAACATACAGATGGCCAATAGACATATGAAAAGATGCTCAGCATCACTAATCATCAGAAAAATGCAAATTAAAACTATAATGAAATAATCATTTTCATTGAGGAAATCACCTCACAGCTGTCAGAATGGCTATTATCAATAAAGCAACAAACAACACATGCTGGCAAGGACGTAGAGAAAGGGGAACCCTCTTGCACTGTTGGTGGGAATGCAGACTGGTGCTACCACTGTGGAAAGCAGTTGAAGAGACCTCAAAAAATTAAAAATGGATCTGCCTTATGACCTACCTACCCCACTTCTAGGAATATATTTGAAGAAACCCAAAACACTAATCAAAAGAACAAAAGCACCCCTATGTTCATGATAGCATTATATACAATCACCAAGATATGGAAGCAGCCCAAGTGTCCATCAGTAGATGAATGAATAAAACAGCTATGAGACATTTACACAATGGAATACTATCATGGATAAAAATGAAAATTTTACCCTTTGCAACAGCATGGATAGACCTGGAAAACATTATGCAAAGTGAAATATGCCAGTCAGAGAAAGATAAATACCATATGATTTTACTCATGTGTAGAAACTAATGAACAAACTGAACTAACAAGGAAAATAGAGACAGACTCACAGATAGAGATCAGCCTGACAGCTATGGGGTTGGGGGAGGTTAGGAGGTGGAGAGATTGAGCAAAAAGGAAAAGACTCGGGGGCATGGACAACAGTGTGGTGACTGTGGTAGGGAAGGAGCATAAGGCAGATAAATGGCAATGGAAAAATATAATAAATTTTTAAACATATAAAATGAATAAAATAAGAACTTTTAAACCCTAAAAATGTTTAAAACTCTAGAAAGCATATGACATCTAAAATACAATCTTATATATTTTGGCTTAAGAAAATTGAAAAAGGGACCTTTTGAAAATTAAGTCCTTGTGCCCAGGAACAATTCTTGGGGTTTGGAACATCTGCCCAAAACAGTTTTTTCATTCTACAAAGGATAAAGAAAGCAGTAGAATTAAAAAGAAAACATTCATATTGAAAATGTTAACAGTTAATGAATGTATAAACTAGAAATTAATCCCCCAGAGCTATGCCTCAATAGGGTTAGATTCATTTTCACATGCTATCACATAACGATTCCCACTAATGACCTGTCTAGACCAAAGTTAATAACCAGTATATTAATAAAAATAAACAACACATATTGGAAACCATGTGCCAGGCAATTTACATAGGTTTTTCTCAGAGAAAATAAAATATTAAAAATGGTCATCAAGTGAGTTTCAGAAACAATTCCATTTTATGTGGTCCCGTTAGCTCAGTTAACTGAAAGATAAATTGAGTCTAAAATTTACTCTCTCATTTTTGTTTTTGTTTTTGTTTTGTTTTGTTGCCAGAAGACAAAGGTTTCTGTAGAGATGCCTTCTGTGAAATAAACTCACTGGCCCAGACCTCTCAGCACAGAGTAATGCAGCACTCAGAGCCACAAGAAATTCAAGGCCATTTGCCAAACCAGACTAACTAGAGCCATCAGTGCTGACTTTTAAAAAGCAGAATGTTTACTGATTATTTGAGAACTGACTGCTCCAGGTAAATTTTCACCACTAAAAGCCCTCAACCCACATTCACAACCCAAAAGCCACTTTTGCCATCACCAAAAACATACAACCCAGGGTTCCCTATTATGGGCTTATTTGCTGAGTGTATTTACACAGAAAGTTAATTTCTTCCATGAGGTTTATGTTGTGCTAGCAAAACAGAATTTAGCTACTGAAAACAGGCTTTTTCTTTTTATGCCATCTTAATTGTACAAAAAAGGTATTTAGAATATAAATTTTCTGATTTGTATTTTAAATCAAGGTTTAAATATACTGAAGGTTCTTAACATCAACTACAGTACCTTTGATGTAATATTAGCAATGTTCCAAGCAACAAGGTTAAAGACGAAATAATTATTGGCACAATTACATATACACCTGTATAATTCTGGAGTTTTTCAATATCACCTGAAAGAGAAAAGCAATTCACATAATTCAGAAGCTTGAGAAAAAAGATCTTTGTGTATCAAAATTTATAATATGTCTCCTGATTTCACCATAAATCTATATTACCTCTAAAATATAAAAATAAAGAGGAAGATAAAAATATAGTTATGATCATATTAATAAAATAATTATTACTGTGTCCAGAATTATGCTTATTGTAATTTAGGAAAATACTTTTGTCAAAATGATTTGTCAGTTCTCTCCATCTGACTGATCCCTTTCAGGTAATACGAGTCCACGCGCCATTTAGTTGTTTTGATTACTGGGCATCTGCTTCTAAAGAAGCCAGCCTATAACACCTACCAATCTCTAGTCTGTTCACTCCAGACACATTGACCCCCTTGCTGTTTCTTGAATTACCAAGCATGCTCATTCATCTGTACAAAGCACTCCTTTGTACTTGCTATCCCTTTGCTGAAATGCTCTTCTCCTTTGTATTTGCAGGACTCTGCTCAAATATGATTTGCACAAAGAAAAGGCCAATTTTGGCCATTCTAACTACAACACCACATTTTAAGACTACCCCTTCATCTTAGTTTGCTTCATGGCACATAAGTCACACTTCTATCTGACCTTATATCCTACATGATTAATTTATTGCCTGTCACTCCCACTGGAGTACTGGAGGTGAGGCTCCATAGGGGCAAAGAATGACGCTTACTGTTCAACCCCAGTGCTTAGAAGAGTGCTCTATCTATATTTGTTAAATAATACATAAACTAATCTTTACAATTATTTGAATCCTAAAACCAGGTAAACTGTTTCTCCCTTGAAACTTCATTATTGGTGTGCTTGGATCTGAGAACAATTTGCAATATTGTGGATATGCCAAATATGGTAAGATGAACCAAACAATATGAAAGGCCCAGTCTGTGATAATCTCTCCAGTTTTACCTTCAGAGGAAAAACATTTCCTTTAGAAGACTGATGAAAATTTATGGGCTCACAAATATAGGGTCCGGCACAAATAATTCCCCTTTTTATTACAAAATCATAAGCATGTAATTCTGTAATATACACCATATGACATTTTAGGTGAAATGTTCAAATTAAAACTATAAATCATTACTCCCATAATACTACCCCACCAACCACACTCAGGTAGGCGTTACTTCAGCCACACTCGATGTCCCCAAATGTATTTGGAGGGAAAGGTGCATTTATATACATTATACAAATATGTGCATAAAATTAATATACTTCTCATTAGGCTTTATGAAGATATACTTTATTGTATAGCTGTGTGTTTCCCTTCATTTCGTTTATATCAACTTTTTAACCTACTGGAGACTGAAAATTTTATTTACCAATGCAAGAACTCAAAACTATGCCTGGTTACTCCCCTTCTTACTACCACCGTGGAGCCAGAGGCCTGACTGCGTGCACCCGTGACACAGAGGACTCTGGCTCTTCCACTGTTCCATCAGAAAGGGAATAACCAGATGGCGACATCACTGCTAAGTAGGAAACCACCCATTTGCGTACAAAGCAAGGAAAAGTCAAAGTTTTACCTTGGGTAAAACTATTAATTATCTTCGGTTTCCCCACTCCTTCCATAAATACTGGGTAAAGACTGAATTGATACTTCTCAATGGGGATGAAATGATCTGAGGAGAAAACAAATTAAAGGGTTATTCTGACTGAATTAATGTAAATGAGTGAAATCTATCTAAAACAATTTTAAGTGATCCTCCTGTATTTCCAGACACAGAAATGAGTTGTTATTTATGGATTTAAGGTGATCATTAAGGGAGTTTCAAAAACAAACTGAGCACTCCAAATTCTCCTAGTAATGGCAATAATTTTACAAACAATACTTAAAAATTTTTACATAGAGATAGGAGATAGAACACGTTCCAGTGACAGCTCCTCTGTTCAAGTTCAGAGCATGAGTTTTTTGTTTCCCTGTCCAGGGCGGTACACTCTACCCCTCTCCTGTATCTCCAAAGTGAGCAATATTCCCTTTACACGGGAATTTCCCTTAATTAGTTTCCCCACCCAGGGCAGCCGGAAGTCTCATGAAATCCTATACAAGAAAGATGGGGGTGGGAATGAGGAATCCCCTTGCAATATCCAGGATTCTAGCATCATGGAGGGTGACCATCTCCACAGCAAAGCTCAAAAATGAATCTATCAAGTGTTACTAATATGCAGGAACATTGCTTTATAAGAGATAAATCTCTTTGAAGCCTAAATTCCCCACAGTTTAAAGAAAAGCACAGAGAGTAACCACGCGGACAACAGTGCTAATTAAATTAGTTCTCTGTCAACAATTTGTTTCTTTTCACCCTAGTGCTAATTCTAGGCCTTGGAAATAAAATAAAAGTATGAACCTTTGGGATGATATTACATAATAAGGTCATAGCAATGCCTAGCTTCCCTATACTTAAACCTAACTCAGAGTCAGAGATGCTGTGTCATGCACTTAAAGTTTGTAATCACCTCCTGAGGCAAGAGGTCTACTTTCAGGAGTTTCTGCTGGTCTGTGTCACCAGGTCCTAGGTTCTCAGACCCTCAGCACAGCACCCCCACTCGCTGACAGTGAAATGATAAAATCGACGATCTGGTAGGACAAGTGGGCAGCAGGTACCAAAATCCACTACAAATTGGTTTAAAGATAAAGGTAAAGCTGAAATCAACAAAAATAGTTCTCCAATAAATAAACAGTTTAAGTAGATTTGGGAATAAAATGTAATACAGTCATTGAAAATAATAGTTAAAGGGGAAACACATTTGTGATATATCAAAGGAACAAATCGGAAGAAAAGTGGTAGATGATAGGGTATTGTGACAACTGTGTAAAATACTTACAGGACAAAGGATCAAATGAGATAGAATTAAATGTTTCTGGTAAGATGGTATACTACAAGAATATTTTTTAAGTTTCATTTAATTAACTGGCTCTGTTAAATGAATTAGTAATGTGTAGTGTCATACTAATCTGTTAAGAGAAACTTATTGAAGTACAGTAAACTAACTTACCATGGATATAATACCTCTTAACAGATGAAGGGATCCTATGCCATTTAATTTCACCGTCTTCATTAAGAATTTTCCACTCAAGAATAAAATACATCAGATTGTAATCACTAAGTGATAGCATCCAGGAAAGAATCACACAACTGCTGTTTAAAGGATAAGCATTGAGTGACTGCACGATATTTACTGAGGGAAAAAGAAAGAAATTTATTTTTTAAATAAAAATTAATGAAAATCTCCTAATACCTTTGAAAAATATATAACCTACTAGAAAAGGGGAGGAAGTAGAGATGGCAGACATTTACACAAGTAAATATAATACATGGCAATCGTTTTTGTATAACTAGAGTCACAGAAGCAGAAAGACGTGGGAGTCTACACTATGTGGGAGAAACAAGATGCTAGCTACCTAAAGCCTAAAAAAGGGCTCTTTGGAGAAGGTCAGAGTTGTTCTCCACTGGAAGGCTGCACAGGCCTAGTAGTTACTCTACGTACTCCCTCCAAACTCTTCTCTCCCTCTGACGTAGCATGCTTTCAGAGCACACACATGATCATTTTAACACCCTCTGCACAGAGTCCCACTTCGAAGCCTCCAGTGGATTTCCACATAGGAGGATAAAATTCCTACCAGGTCTACAAGGCCCTGGGGCCCACACCTTAGCCTGCCTCTGGCCCTTTGAGGATTTTCTGCCATGGGGCACCCTGGTCCTATCTTCACATCCCCTCCTGTGCCCTGAGGACTTTTGTTCAGGCTGCTCCTGTCCCAGGCGCCAATGCGCTTCCCCCTTCTCTGGGGAAGTTCAATTCCTGTAATAACACTTCCTCAAGAAAGCTCTCACCCCCCACACCAGATTAGGTTCCTGTTTTCTTTCCTTTTATACAATTATATTCCTTTCCTGGGAACGCCTTCCTCAGTTTGTAAATAAGCATTCATGTGCATGATTATTTGATTAATGTCCATTCCACCTACTGGACTCTACAAATGCTGAGACCATTATAGTTTTTCTCACACTGGAATTCCCACCACCTACCACAGTACGGGATTTAATAAATGTCTTGAGAACATAGTGATTGAAAGTACCTTTAGTAGAATCATGTGCAAATGCAACAGAACTTAAAAGAAGTTTATACTATATGTACAAAGGTAACCATAATATAAAGCCTGATATAAAATACCATCAGAAAGGCAGAAAGCACTCTGAGAGTTAGAACAGGATAGGACATATGTGATTAAAGTAAAAAGCAAAGGTTTCATGGAGGAGATTGGTAAAGGTGCAGAAATTTGAGTTTTCTATTAAAAGTGTATATTTTGAATATATAATCCAGACTAGAAACTCCTACTGAAAGTGGTTCTCAATTCTCTGATTAATCAAATACATCAGAATTAACTAAAGAGGGTTCATCACTCATATCAAATGAATTCAGGCTAATTTTCAGGTCTGAGCAATTACTTGCATCCATATAATATGTTATAGTATTACCTATATATAGGTAATAGTATAGGTAAACATGTACATATACTTATTTTTATATATTTATATATGTATGCATATATATGTATGTACACATATATACTTATATATATGGAGAGAGAAATTGAGATTGATTTACCTATGACCCCCATTGGTCCAAAAGTATTAGATTTATTAGAATATTCTCACTATAATATCTCTTTAACCATGTACTACCACATGAAAATCCCAGGACCATATTATGTAATCAGAGTACAAAGCAGTTTGTTATTTTTCAGACGAAGAAGAAATAGAGATAAAAGAGAGACTTTCAGGTTCACAGAATCACAGGCTTCTTGGAAGACCATTTAAAATTGGAAGAGTCTGCAAAGATTAAATATATAAAAGGGCACAGGTTTACTACCCTATGCTTTTTTCTTACCTTTGCTGATAGGCCGTGAGAATGTTAAATTAAAATTTGCAAAAGAGGCACCAATAGTATTGAAAGCCAGAACTGTAATGGTATGTGTTTGCTCTGTCAACTGGAAAGTGAATTTGGTATGATTTCCGACATCTTCTGACCACGTTCCATTGAGGGAAGTGTTATGCTTTACCACGTATCTTCTCACGCTGCACAATGAGTCGTGTTTCATCAGGGGCTAGAAAAAACATAAAAATGGATTAGCTTGACGAGCACAGTGCTTTTTACACCAACTGAGCTCATGGAGCTGTAATTCTAAGTTCCCATTGCGAGGCAGGGGTCTGACCAGAGGCAGCACTGCTTATTTCCAGGCTGAAGTTCAGGGAGGGAGGGTAGGGAAGGGTCTGCCTCTGACCACAGGCTCAGTGAAGGTGTCATGTGGGCATGGAGCAGAGGAAAGTCATTCCCCCACCCCCAGGTTTTTTTCTTAAGACTCAGAGAATAAATCATTGGAGGATAGTGGATACATTGAAGTATGGATACAAATAGGAAGCTTTTCTACCAAAAAGTTTCACTCTTAATTCTAAAGAAAAGAAAGGTTGACAGAAAGTTGAGAATTTCCTCATCTAAAAAGGGGGAAAAATAACCCTTTGATTCTATAAAAAAAGGAAAGTTTAAAAATGTTAATCATCACATATAATAATCCCAGTAAAATGAGTGATTTGTCACTCATTTTCTCTTCCCCTGATTTGCTGCCACTTCAAGTAACAAAGGCTGTGCATGACACCCAGAATTTCGGTCCTATGTTTAAAAAAAAATCATACCAGGTCACTGACAATTCCAGTGTCAAATACATAGTCAGCCCAATTCTATTCCTCTGTTCTACAGAACATACCAGTTTGCCCATCACCTTCCACCTGTGTCAGGTAACAGTAAGAGCTGCCAATCCTTTGTAAACCCATAGAAAGCCCGACTCTATACAACAGACTAGACTAGTGCTGCTCCATTTCTCTTTTTTCCTTTGTTACTGAGATTCCTATAAGTCAGAAATACCAGAAGGAAAAAAATACACAAGCACATGCACATCTATCCCTGTAGGGCCTGAGTAATCTAGGTAAATGGGGAAGGAGATTTTTGCTACCACTGCAAGAATGAAATGTCTGAAAAGTCATGCAAATTTTGCATTTTGTTTTTAAAAGTCTATGTCAGGCTGTCAGGGATGGGGAGAGAACTGGATAAGAGAAGGTGAAGGGATGAGCCAAAGAACAAATACATATCAAATATGTATAATCCATGGACACAGACAACAGTGTAGTGATAGCCAGAGAGGGAAGGGTGAGCGGGAGCTGGGAGGAGTGGGCAGAGGGGTGAAAATGGGGACATCTGCCATAGTGTCAACAATAAAAATAAAGAAAATTTCTATGTGTTTTCATATACACATATTTACTTTTGTAACCAATTAAAAAAGAGATATACGTCTTTACTTTGTGGTACAACAAAGTTCATCACGGCTCATCTTGTGTATTTCCTACCCCAGTCCCAAATCAGACATTTTTCAAGGAGCCTTAGTTCCTTTTATTGGAGAACAAATATGGGTATGCTGCCTGCTACTGGAGTGCTGTTACTCCAAGGCCCTCTCAGCTTACAAATCAAGGGATGTACACTAACTCCTGTAATGTGCACATCTACAAATATTTCTAAATGAATCCATCTGTAGCCATAGTAAGCTAAACAGGAATTACGCTGATGTCTCCAACTCTAATCCCTTGCCCCATTGGATCATTCTGGTTTTCTGCCCCTAGCTTCTCTAGAACCAATCCAACAAAGAGACACCTGGGTCCCGCCATCCACATCCATTTCCTTAATTGTTCAATTCCAGTTTGCATGTATAGTGGTACAAGAATTGTTAACCCATTGCCCCATGATAATTAATTTTATCAACTAGAACTCAGTGCATAGTACCACTTCTTTTGACTCTACTTTTAAGACTGTACTCCTTTACAAAGTTAATTAGGCCTGCACCTTTTTCTCCCACCTCCTTCAGTGCGGGTTTTCATAGACTTGTCACACAGTTAGAGTCGTTTGTCCCAGCCTGGATTCCATCTGGGAATCCTCCACCCCCCTGAGTGATTTATGTTTAATTTGCATATGTTAAGGTTTGCTCTTTGTGCTGTAAAGTTCTATGGGTTTTGACAAATGCATATATATTCACCATGTTATGTATCCACCATGGCACATACAGAAGAGTTTCACCACCATACAAAGTGAAACCTCTTGTGCTTCACCTCTTCAAACTTTTCCTTATCAGCCCAACCCCTAGACACCACTGATTTTTCTAGCATCTCTACAGTAAAGCCTTTTCCAGAATATCATGTCTTTGGAATCATTGTGTAGCCCTTTCTGATGGGTTTTTGCCACTAAGCTACATGGATTTAAGATCCATTTGTGTCTTTTTGCAGCTTTATAGCAATTTCTCTTTGTCACTGAATAACATTCCATTGTATGGAAGTACCATAGTTTGTTTATTCACTCGTCTATAGAAGAATATCTTGGTTGTTTCCAGATTTTGGTAATTATGAATAAAACTACTGTGAACATGTATACGCAAATTTTTATGCAAACACAAGTTTTCAAATCAGTCAGGTAAATACTGAATAGTGCAATGCTGGATCATATGGTATGACTATGTTTAACTTTGTAAGAAACTACCAAACTATCTTCCAAAGTAACTGTACTATTTTGCAGTCCCACCAGTGAATAAAACTTCTTGTTGCTTTGCATCCTTGCCAACAATTTATTATCAGTTTTCTGAATTGTAATCATTCTAAGAAGTGTGCAGTGGTACCTCATTGTTCTTTTAATTTGTAATTCCCTAATGACAGATAATGTTTGTTGAGGACCACATGTTTGTCTTCCCAAAGTTTTGACCAAAAAAATTCCATTCACTTGGGATAAATACAGATGGGAAAGAGAATGCTTTGAAAATTGTTATGGTAAATATCCACTGTTTATGGAAATATCTTTATCCCTTGTTTTAGATGTCTTTGAAGTAGATGGAGAAGGCCGAATTTACTTTGTTTAGGATTAAATATAAGTAGAATTTTTTAACTTGAAGGAACAATAGATACCTGTTGGGAACCGCCTTGCCTGGTTCCAGAAGCTGTAACCTTGCCACGGCTAAGGCTAAGGCTGCGTGAGTGACCACTGGACCATAAGCCACTAAGGAAACAAAGCTTATCTCCCTGGCAGGGGCACCGCCTCAGCCCCTTTTACTTCATCCATAACTGGCCTTTAATGCTTGATCGGTTAGCCAATGACGGGTAAGATTCCCTAAGGGGGGAATGACCTAAGACAGGCACGGTCACGTGAAGGCCCCAAGGAAGGACTTGGGGGGCTACAGCAAAAGGGGGTGATGGACCCCTGTCCCTGGACTGTGACATAACCTGAGTCCTCATTCTGTCTTCTAATCTCTTGGCTGACTGATTTAAGCCTGAGACAATGCCTTAAGCCTGAAACAATGCTGGTGGTGGATACTGCCTTGTGCTGGAAAGGGCAGGTCCCCTAGGGCAATCAGGCCTAAGAAAGAATATGTAAAATGCCGTGAAACCTGCTTTGTTTAGAATGCTCTCAATTAAATAAGGGTCCAAGCAAGAAGTGAGTTTGTTCCTCAAAGTTTTATAGCTCTTTAGCTATCTGACCCTAACTCAAAATAGGCCTTCAGAGCTCTTTGTTATCTATTGTTTGATCTTTATTGCCTGACAATGATTAATGAGTTTTACCTGTACTCCTGTGCAAAACAAACCCAATAAAAGCCCATTGAGGAAAAGGCCCTTGGCCCTTCTCCTTTGAGAGATTGGCCACCTTTCCTCCCCAAGCAGATAATGTCTTGGTAGACTTATTCTCATCCATGGCAGACTGGGGGGGGGAGGGGCTGAGGATGGAGCCCCCCCACAGGTATCATTTAATGCAATCCTACTTTTATACTGATTAGGTTAAAGAGTCTAGGTGACTTTGCCAAAATAATACTGACGTAACTATAGTAAGTTAAGCCAAGAATAGAATTAAAGTCACTGAATTCTACACTGGTATACCCTCCACCAAGGATCTTAGCTCTCTGTGGTCACCTCTCAAAATGGAAATGAAATATGGGAATGCAGAGCATAAAAATGACAGGATTATGAACAATGAAGAATAACATAAAAAAGCAGAAGTTGAACAATGAAGAATAACATAAAAAAGCAGAAACTGAACTATGAAGAACAGCATAAAAAAGCAGAAATTGAACAATGAAGAATAACATAAAAAAGCTGCAATACTTTCCAAAGTAAAGTGACATTTCTCTCTTTTTTAGTGATGTCTTCATTAATTATTCTCCAAAATTCAGGTCCTCTGATAGGAACTGCAAAACAACAAGGAGCCCAAGTTGTACATGTGTTCTTGGAAGGAATATTTTTCAGTCGTATTTGAAACACACACTGAATGCATGTTTAAGACACCATCAAAATCTCTACAGACCTTTGATGTCTGTGACAACTGTGTAGGCTGGAGCACTCCAGTCACTCCAATATCCCAGTCCATCCAGCCTCTTACAGCGCACCTGAGCAGTATAGACTGCACACAGGTCTGGCACTGGGAGACTGGCGGATTTTGAGTTTGCATCATACACCTCGTACATCTGCAACATAAGTCAAAGCATCAGATTGATCATTACTAACATGTAGGTAGCTAAAGGACTCTCAATGCATTTTATTTCAAACCTTAACACTCTTCCAAAATTAAGAGGGAACTGACTTCATGTCTTCTGGCTTAGAAATGCTAATATGCCTTGAATCATGAGCTCCTTTGATCTAAGGATTGTCTTGGTTATCTTGTTGTTTCCTTCTAGTAACCAGATTTGGACTGGTTCACTTGCTCTTAGGAATTTTAACCTAGTACTTAATCAGGCCTGCCTTGTAGAGAACCTCTGATACTCAGTCTCCTCAAGAAGCAGGTAAATAGTCCCAACTATGAGTATGATTCTGGTTGTTTGATAAAAGCAGCTTCTTCCAAAATGTGTTCCATTGACCACATCTGTACTAAAGAATATTATTAGATGTTAGAGGAAATGAGGGTTTCTTGGTGAAATGAATTTGAGAAACATAGCAGGAAATAAAGTCACGAATGTTTCTTTCATGCAGGGCCTCTTACAACCTTGAATAAACTGTGACTCTACAGTAGGGACGTACAGTGATACAGGGTTTCCTAAACTTACTTAGCCGCGCAAGTTTTTCTTAAGGAATATTTTATAGAACAAATGTTCTACAAAAAATCACTTTGGGAAATAATAGATTGGAGGAAATTTTACTCCTTTAAAGGCTTAACTTTATACCACTTTAATAAAAATAGCTACAGAATAGAGAGGATATACTAAATAAATAAATCTTATGCCAGCAAAATAATTTTATGCAATAAAGTTCTTTAAAATTATAAGAAATAACATTTAGTAAAGTAAGCTGAAGAAATTTCTAGATCAAAGTTACCTTCCATTGTATTTCTTTTCCATTTAAACCATAACGAATCTGAAATTGAAGACTGTTCTCTGGGAAAGTTGGCTTTTTCCAAGATATTTTCAGTAATCCAGTTTTTACAGTAATTTCTGCTTTCACATCGGATGGAGGCAGTGGTTTCACTGGAAATTTTTAAACAGTATGTGTAACAGTATAATGTTTAAAAGACATTACTATGATGTTATAATCTCCATACCTTCTATCAGCAATTTTCAACCTTTTTCATCTCATGGAAACTAATTGCTAAAACTTTGTGGCACACCGAAAAACACATTATTTTTTGCCAATCTGACACAAATAGGTATAATTCGATTCATTCACACCAGACAGCTATTGTTGAGTTGGCTGTTGTCATTTTTTTTGTTGTTGTTTGACAATCTAAGGGAAAAGAGATCCATGATCCTAACCAAATAGCCAGCTGTTGCATGTTTTACAAATTCTTGTGGCACAATGGTTGAAAATCACTGCCTTACATTTATAAAGCAGTATCTCTTTTTGAAAAATTTCACATTCCTTATCTCATTTGATGGCCTACAACTTTATGTAATAAACAAGAAAGGGATTATTCTGCAAATAGAAAGGCAGTCCATGTCACTCTGCAACTTTATAGTAAAACTAGGTTAGAAATTGAGCCTTTGGCTCTGCATGCAGAAGATACCAGACGGAACACATGATAAACATCAGTAGCAAACTATTCCATGTACAGCTTTAATTCAAGCCAAACAAAAACAAAATCATGGTGCTATATCCATTTCCACATGTGTGATTTTCAAACTCTTCTCCTACTATATACTAGTAACTATTTGTGGGTCAAGGTCAGAGGTAGTCTCGCAGAGTGAAGACTTTGTTCTCTAAAATCTAAGAAAAACAGGCTTTTAAGAGGCAGAAATGGAGGGGCTAGATTATATATGACTAGAATAGGAAGAACTTTTTTAAAAAAAATATATAAACTTAATGTATTTGGGAACCAAAAATCCAAGCCAACACACAATAGAAGGAGCCTCTAAAGCACCGCACTTCATCGACAATAATACTATAAATTGTCAATGACCAAAACAACTAAACTTTGTCATCAGTACACAGTTTCTCTTGATTGTTCAATTCTTCATATACCAAGAAGGCATTCTTCACCAACTTGTAAAATGACATATACTTCACCTCTTAAAGAGATCATTTCTCCCCAGGAAAGGAAGTACAGAATGAATGTGTGAGAGACCCAAAGATATTAAATCTGTAATTGTACTTGACTGAATCAAATGGATATCATATGAATATACTTCATGACTATCCAGCTTACAGAAAAGATGCTTGGACGTACAATGTTGATGTGGTCTCCACAATACACTGAGAAGTATGAGGAGGTGGCTACATTTACTGGGTCACAAAACAGTCACAGAGCCCTTATCTGGACAGCCCAAGTTTATAAAGCTAGTAATAAGTAGAGCCAGCATTTGGATCCCAAAGTATAATCTCCATATTGTCTTCTAGTACTAACTAGGCATCATAATCCCAGTTTAAACTCCTTATTTAAGTACTGAAAAGAGTAACATCCATGCTATTCAGGTATAGAACTGAGTCCATGTTGCACTTGTTACATACTACATGTGACAGTGCATCTGTTCATGTTTGTGGAATGGGGAGGTACGGGGTTCTTTGCTATCCTAGGATATTTAGTACTAAATAGGTACTGCCCATGGTAAAATCACTTAACATGGAACCAAACTAAATTGAGTGTATGTGTGTTGATTAATTGGGACATTTATGTTAAAAAAAATCTAAACATTAGGTGTGCTTCTTATATTTAACAAAATGCAGGTTTTAATTCTGATATGTACTAATTATTTGAAAGCACAGTAAATCAAATAGTAATTTTTGGCATGATTTCCCCCCAAAATAGTATATAGCACTAAAACATATTGTTTTACCTCTGCTGCACAATCACCAATGGGTTATTTCTCAAAGATTCCACAGTAATACCAGAGGGATATATCCATTTTTCACAGGGCTCTCTTAATTCTTTGAAATCAAAATGTCTTTTTAAAAGAGTATTTAAAAGTTCATGATGGATGTCATCATTCCTTGTGTATTTTTTTCTTTTTCACTTGCCTTTAGCTATTTTGAATCATGCTCCCTAAACAGCCTCATAAATTAAAGCCTTGGGTTATTACTATTCAGATTATAAAAACCATCAGGATACCTAAATTAAATTTTGAGATTTAAAAACATCAAATGTTTCCATAAGTACCCAGGCAGGGGGAGGGGTAGAAATACAAAGTAGTGCCCTATTCAGAATGTTGTTGGATTTCATTCCCAGTGACCGATATAATTCATCAAATAGTACACTGAAATTATACCTATTGCTAAAAAACTGTGCTATATACAATTTAAAATGAAATCAAAATGGTAAAACTTTCTACGGTTGATTGTCTTCTCATCCACTGTGAACAGGGAAAAATTTAAATCTAAGATGATCAGAATACAGTGAAATATAACAATTACCCTCAATCAACCTAAATCCTAATCTTCTAATGAAAATAAAGACGGACAACAAAGTGTCACATACCCATGGAGTCAGGAACGACACAGGTTGGAGGAGAGTCAAGTGAACCCAAAGAGTGATTGACCCTTATCCACATTGTGTAGCCGGACAACAAAAAGATGGGCTGAAATACGCACTCATAGAAACCATCTCCCTGCACATGGCAGTCTTTGGCTTCAGAGGTGGGATGAATAGTTGGAACATCAGGACAGTAAAGGCTTTTCCTTGAAAGATATGAAAACAGCCAATTAATATACAACACTGATGAAAGCAGCAAGACATTCGAGAATTCTGCTTTGCTGTTTAAAAGGTACAGTTTTTCTCCATCGGAAAACAGACGTTCTTCTAAACGGGTACGTTTGAATTCCCAACTGCATCATAATCTTGTCTATCCATAAAAGCAGACAGTAACCCTTATTAAATATTTCATTATGCACTAAGTGGGAATGCAAGTGAAATTCAGTGCATTGCTCTAACAAGAAGATAATGACCCAATCAGAGATAGAATGTATAACACTTAGAAAACTTAGCTAATATTATACTTAAGAAATACAACTTTAAGATCAAAAGTAGTAATGAGCAACTCTAAGATGGGAAGGAAAGTAAATTTCTTATGCTTTCAATACAGATTAAATTCCATGACAAACTAAAAACATAGTTGATAGTAAACTACAGCATTAGAGTGTCCTAATATTTTTCAGTTCAAATCAATAAAAATTTTTAAATAATTCTTGATTTGTATATGAATCATGTAGTCAAATATATCATTCTTCTCAGAGAAGAAAATATTGTCTTATAACCCCCTGAGGTGTGGTGTAGATGAGTCCCTATCTATACCCCACCTCAAAACATACAAAGCATTTCTCCTCTTCCTTGAAATACCCCTTCTGCCACTATTTTTGCTCTTAATATGACATCACAATGGCCAAAGTAGCACTTACTGTTCCCTAATTAAGTATATTCTACCTTCCTCTTTCAAGAAGGAAATCTACAAGAATACTGCAGTAGCAATATTTCTACAGGAAATTTTTTACCTCACCATATCTACAGAAAAATAAAAATAGCAAAAATAATACATACCTACGATACCTCAACTGCAAAGTACTCCCCACGAGTGACTGGATCGCATTGGCTGACCATCTGCAGGTCATTTTAGTTAAGTACCCATCAGTTTCACATAATATATTGATATTGACATCTATTTAAAACATATAAAATATTAATGTATAGCAAAAACAACAAAAACACTGAATGAAAATAAAATTCCCTCAGATACTTCTTCAACGGGACTGCACTATGGGGTCCAGAAGATAAATGCATTTTGCGGAACAAAGTGAAGACCTCGGGCTGCTTACCGAGCACGTACAGCTCAGCGTAGCGATGGTGGCACTCCTGCTCGCTGCAGCAGTACACTGCGTCGTAGGTGAACTTGCCTCGAGGTCTGGTGGCATTCACACTGGGAAGGGTAACTCTGCTAACGTGGTCCCCCACAACGTCATACTGGCTTTCAGGAATTTTCTCAGCTAAATTCATCCACCAAACAATCTTTTTTGAGGGAAGGACCTTGTTTCCATTTTTGTAGATGCAGTGAAAGGAAACATTAGACCCAACACTTGTCAGAATTTTGGGTGGAAAGTATAAGACATCTGTAACAAGGGAAGAAAGGTAGCAAATCAGACGGCAGGAAAACATCACGTGAACAATTAACATTGTAAGAAGGATTCACAAAGCATTCAGAATCACACTGCCAAAAATAAAAGGAGTGTACCAAAGGACTGCATAAATGTAACTACCTGTTTGTGTACAGTTACCTAGCATCCTAAGCATGCTCATTCACAAATACTTGACCTTCCACAAATATCATCAGTATTTCCTAAACATAGAGACACTTTTATTCTAAAATGTCTTACTTAGACCATTATTCTAATGGTCACTTACTAAGTGATAGGTAGAAAATTAACGAAGTGAAATATAGGCTAATTCCACAAGGACACGTCTTCCAGATTTTGCTTTAAGAATCAACGCATCTTAAGATGAGTTCTTAAATCACTTTAAGATAAAATCCACCCCCACCAAAGGTGGTTGCTATTGTCTCATTAGAACATATGAGACATAAAATTTCAAATCAGCAGAGACAGTACAAAAATAAACATTAAATAGGAAAACTATTTAGGAAATATAAAATTAATAATTTACTAAATAGCAAAGCAGGTCTGGAGTATCGTTTTGAGTTATTTATTAACAGTCTCCCGTGGTTGAAGACAAGGAGAACCAATACTTTTCCAAATATTATTTTTAATGACTATACACTATTCCATACTTCTTTTTCAGTTCCTTATTGTTGGAAACATAGTTTGTCTACATTTTTTAATTAGAGAGAGAATAAAAGTCAACACTGTTAACATAGGGGGAAATTACTTCTGCCAGAGTGATTATAAAATCAGCATGTTTTGGTTGTACGAATTAAGGCAACCCATTTCTGCTGATAAAATATAAATATTGGTTTTCTTACACAACATCTGGATTAGCCTCAAAAACAAAACTGAAAACATTTAATTGGTTATTAACTTTTCTATAATACCATGCTAAACTCCAATTTCTTTATATTTACAATCCATGTAAGACATTGGCATTTTGTACATCTACAGTTAAACATAAACAAGGAAAAACTCAGCAGCACGAAGTGACTGGACCGAAGCCAGTCCATTAGAGTCATCAGCGAGTGCGGGGAGGCGTTCGAGCCTCTCTGGTGCATTACTGAGTGCGCACAAGTACCTGGCACTGACCTGAGAGATGGTTGACCTGCCTCCAGTGTGCTCCACACCGTATTACTGAACTGCTGCACAAGTTTCCGAATAATCCATTTTTAAAAGAGTACGAGTGAACTTTGAAAAATTAAGCTGAAGCTTTTCATTTTAAAGCTAACGAAAACTCAAATTTTTCATTTCAGAATTGAATGCATACAATTAAGGTTTAATGGAGAAATAAGGTTAAAGTCTGTGGTAAATGTTGACTATCTAATTTTTAAAATAACATATATATTTTTTATTTTCCCATGAGATCTATATAATGTTTAATTTGTAAAAATATAAAACAATAATAATTTTCTTCTCATGGCCAAGTAGCAATACCTTTGCAGCATCTACACTAAAGAATTTTATTAAAAGAAATTCTACTGATAATTATTAATGAATCACTGAAAAGAATATATTTTAGAACATTTAAATGCTATTTTAAAATGTGCTTATTTAAAATGAAAATTGATTTTTTAATCCTTAGAGCAGATTACCTAATTTTTTATGGGGAAATATATTCCCTAACCTATTCTAAGACGGCCATGTAAAATGTAGACATTATCCATTATCTATCCTCTTCCTTGGCAGCAACAAGAATGCAGTTAATAAAGGTATTACAAGAACTCAGCATGTCTAAAATTGTTTTAGCACGCAGCATAACCTCAATGCAATATCCCTGGACTCTGTAAATTCTGGCAAGGTCCTAGATTTTCCTCTACAAGTCCACGCCTTCTCAGCAGCCAAAGCAAAAGAACTTAGCCAATTCATTTTCCGAGCATCAGTAATTTCCTGATTAGGAATAGGTAGTTCTTCATTTACTGTGGTAGCTGTAAAGGTGCTCACAATCAGCCTTCTGTTTGCTATGGCAGCCATATATCACATAACCTCTGTCTAAAAAAATAAGTAAATAAATCCAAAGTATTTGGAAATGATGAATCAGGTATGCAAATTCATTCTAAATAAATAAAACTACACTAAGATTCATGGGCCTCTATGTAAAAGAAGTCATGAACAAGCTAACAGTTTTTATGATGTTAAATATAACTTTAAAAATATGAAAACTCTCCAAATCAAGCATCTGAAATGAAAATGTTATTTTAGTACATAATTTGTAATATTCAAATAAAATTTTAATATTTGGAGTTTTCATCAAATAATATATCTGATGCATAAATATAAGTGGTATTCTGAATTTGTGAATTTGAAACTTTTATACTAATTCTATCTTTTGAATAAGAAAGCAATTCAACAAGGTATTATTCTGGATGCACACAAACCTGGGAGTTCTTACGCAAGTTCACTAGCAAATTAACTTTTTGAAATTTAAGTAAAAAATTAATATTGTGTTCCTTTCTTGTTTTAGTACCACAAAGATTAAGAGTCTTATCATATTCCAAAAACAACTTCAAAAATCATATTTCTTTTTTAATAGAAGGTAACATTACAAAACCTACCTTGTGTGGTAAAAATAACGGGGGTGCTCCAGTCACTCCAGATTCCTGGGCCATCCAGTCTCTTGCTCCTCACCTGAGCCTCATATGAAGACCCAGGAAGCACACTGTCCGTTAGCAGAGATGTAGCTGAGACAATCTCATAGGCCTGTTAAACATTATGTGAAAATACCAGAGCATCAATTCAATATGAACCCTTTACCAAATTAATCACAAGCAAGTCTCAACAAATTTGTAAGTATTAAAATCTTACAGAGTAGTTAGCTGGCCACAATGGAATTAAACATAAATCAATAACCAAATAACAAAGGTTGGCACATTAGACAACAAAATTTTACATAGCCTGTGAGTCCAAGAAAAGAATCACCACAATAATAATAAATATTTTTAACTGGATGATAATGAATATTGACTTTTCAAATTTTGAGATATATGAGGTCTGTCCAGAAGTTATCCAAACATGTAATATAAACAGAGACATGTACTGAAGAAGATATTAGATACAAGAAACATTGTGCATAGGACAATGACCAATCAGTCCCCTTCAAAGTAGGCACCTTGAGACCTCACGCAGTTCTCCCAATTGCCATCAGACACCCATTCAGATTTTCCTGAATCTCACTGACGGTCTGAACTCTCTTCCTTTTCAAAGGTGATTTAGTTTTGAGAAAAAACAGAAGTTGCAGGGCTCCAAATCTGGGCTGTAGGGGAGTTGAGGCACCTAGGTGATTTGATGTTTTGCCAAAAACTCTGCACAAGATGAGATGCATAAGTGGGTGCACTGTCATGATGAAGCTGCCAATCTCTAGTTGCCCATAGTTGCAGCCTTCTGAATCATCTGAATAGTCTCCATGGAGGAATGTTCAAGCTTAATGCAAAATCTGATGCAGATTCATTGCTTTCCTCACTTAGTCATTTTGAATGTGATGGCCACACAGTACATGTCCTCACTCAATGAGGTCTACCACCCCCACTAACTAGTACAGTGAAGTCCTCATTGTTCACACACGCGCATTCCAGTCCATTCTTCTTGACTTCCAAGTTACAGCAATGTGGTACAAACTGTTCTCTTTGGATTAAAAATGGATAGACTTTTTCTGGATAGACCTCTACAGCTAATGTTGGTGGAAAGTGTCAAGCTACTACTGACAACTGCAATGAAGTACATGGTAGAAAACTGTGAACAGAAAGCTGTAAACTTTCCTAGTGGAAAGCAGCACAAAAGAAGGACACAAATGATTTTTAAGAGTCTGAGCCTGATGATAAATTACAGTGAATCAAAATACAGTTTACAAAGTAGAGGTAAAATATTTAAGAAACCTCACTCTGCATTTAAAAAACACCAGCAAAGAACTACTTAGCAAATAATTTTTTAATTTAACATGTGTATTGATTTTAGAAAGAAGAATGGAGAGAGAGAAAGAAATATCAACATGAGGAAGAAAAATCAGCTGGTTGCCTCCCATATGCACCCCAACCAGGAATCAAACCCACAGTTTAGGCATGTGCCCTGACCAGGAATCGAACCCCCAACCTTTTGGTGTATGAGACAATGCTCCAACCAATTCAACCACACCAGCCATGGCTCTACTAATATTCTTCACAACTAGTGAACTCGCCTGCCACTTAGACTGTGGGGCACCACAGAATGAAAATGGTGAAAAGCATTAGGAACCCATCCAGGGGTCTCCGACATTTTGTCATCTCCCGGCCACACTGGAACAAGAAGAGTTGTCTTGGGCCACACAGTAAATACATTGTGACGTATAATCACAAAAGAAAAAATCTCATAATGTTTTAAGTAAATTTATGATTTTGTGTTGGGCCACATTCATAGCCATCCTGGACTGCATGTGGCCCTGGGGCCACAGGCTGGCTACTCCTGCAATAATATCAGACCACTTACAATATTTAAAATCCTATTTTCTCCATTTTACAGATCATAGAGCTGATGCCCAGGGAATCCTTAATTCCGTTTTTTCATACAACATTAAGGATTCCCACCCTATTCTTTATGAAAACAAAGAATTAAAAAGTTAGCTCAGGTCTAAAAAAAATTTTTTTAAATATTTATTTATTTATCTTTAGAGGGGAAGGGAAGGAGAGGAGGAGAGAAACATCAATGTATGGTTGCCTCTAGTGCATCCCCTGCTGGGAACTGGCCTGCAGGGAACTGGCCTGCAACCCAGACATGTGCCCTGACCAGGAATTGAACCGCGATCCTCTGGTTCGCAGACCTGCGCTCAGTCCACTGAGCTACACCAGCCAGGGCCCAGGTCTAAAAAATTTTTTAAAATTTAAAAAACAGGTATTTGCCTCTAAGTTACCTAACAATTAGTTTCACAAACTGCCCAAGTCCTTGCATGGCCCATGAGGTTCTTTACAACCTCCTCTTTCTCTTCCCCTACCCCTCTTTGTTTTTACTGCAGACTGATTGAGGGATTGATGGATTTTTATTGAGGTAACATTGGTTAATAACATTGAATGGTGTTAAGTTTCCAGGCAAGATGGAGGTGTAGGTGGCTACATTTCACATCCTTGCATAATCAAATGAAGGATACACATTTCTTGGATACATGCTCTATTTGCTATGTATATACATATTTGCTCTGTTTGTAAAAATTCATTGAGCTTATGCTTATTTGTGTGCTTTAGTTATTATTCTTCCATGAAATTTTCCAGTAAAAATAAAATAACAGATTTATGGCAATTTAAAAAAAAGGATAACAACCATTTTAAAAACAAAAAAAACAACCAGAACTGCCAGAAAACTGAACTGTATGGAAAACCAACAACCAAGGAGTTAAAGAGGAAACATTTATCTAGACTGGCAGGAAGGGTGGAGAAGGGAAGCTGGGGCAGCAAGGAAGCAGCTGGCAGATGGCAACAGGTAAGGCGACAATTCGTGGACCAGAAAATCCCACATTCACATGTGGATAAGCCAGGAGGGACAACTGGGGAGTGAGACAGACCACACAACCCAGGGTTCCAGTGCAGGAATCTAAAGCCTCAAAACCTCAGGCTGTAAAAACCTATGAGGGTTAAGGTGGTGGGAGAAACTCCCAGGCTCATAGGAGAGTTATTGGAGGGGCCCATGGGATCCTAGAACATACACAAACCCACCCGCCCAGGAATCAGCACCTGAAAGGGCACAATCTGCTTGTGGGAAGTGAGGGAAGTGACAAAAGTGGGGCGAGAGCCAAGCAACCAGCATTGTTCCCCGCCCCCACACACAGCACCACAACGTAGCAAAGTGGGTTGCCCTCCCCTGGCTGATACCTAAGGCTCCACACCTTAGGTAACAGACGTGCCATAACAGGTGTGCTGAAACAAAGAAATATGGCCCAAATGAAAGAACAGATCAAAACTCCAAAATAAGAACTAAACGACACGGAGATAGACAACCTATAAGATTCAAAGTTCAAAACACTGGTAATCAGGATTCTCGCAGAAATGGTTGGGTACAGATGCAAAATAAAATAAGAAATGAAGGCTGTACAAAGTGAATAAAGGAAAATATACAGGGAACCAACAGTGCAGGGAAGAAAACCAGGACCCAAATCAACAATTTGTAACAGAAGGAAAAAAATAAACACTCAATAAGAACAGAATGAAGAAAAAAGTAGTTAAAAAATGAGGAGAGGCTTAGGAACCTCTGGGACAGCTTTAAACATTCCAGCATCTGAATCACAGAGATGCTAGAATGAGAAAAGAAAGAGCAAGAAATTAAAATCTTATTTGAAGAAATAATAAAGGGACCTGGCTGATGTGGCTCAGTAGATTGAGCATCAGACTGTGAAGCAAACAGTCAATGGTTTGATTCCCAGTCAGGGCACATGCCTGAGTTGCAGGCCCAGTCTCCAGTAGGGGGTGCATGAGAGGCAACCACAGATTGATATTTCTCTCCCTGTCTTCCTTCCTCCCTCCTCACTTTCTAAAAATAAAATAATAAAACCTTTTTAAAAATAAAGATTGTGGGCTTAAAAAAAAAAAAAGAAAAGATAAGATAATGAAGGAAAACTTCCCCATTCTGGGGAAGGAAATAGACGTGCAAGTCCAGGGAGCTCAGAGGGTCTCAAAGAAATTGGATCCAAGAAGAAACACATCAAGACACACCATAATTAAATTACCCATGATTAAAGATAAGGAGAGAATCTTAAAAGCAGTGAGAGAAAAGGAGAGAGTCGCCTAAAAAGAAGTGCAGAAGACTATCAGCTGATTCTCAAAAGAAACCTATGCAAAGTCATGAAAAGCAAGGTCCAACAACCTAGATTACGTTATCCAGCAAAGCTATCATTTAGAATAGAAGGGCAGATAAAGTGCTTCCCAAATATGGTAAAGTTAAAGGAGTTCATTATCACCAAACCCTTGTTATATGACATCTTAAGGGGACTTATCTAAGAAAAAGAAGATCAAAAGCATGAACAGTAAAGCGACAACAAACTCACAAATATCAGTAACTGAATCTAAAATAAAACCTAAGCAAACAACTAGAACAAAAAGCAGAATCACAGAAATGGAGATCACATGGAGGATTATCAGCAGGGAGGTGGTGGGGGAAGGATGGGTGAAAAAAATACAGGAAATAAGAAGCATAATCGGTAGGCACAAAATAGACAGGGCAAGGTTAAGAATAGTATAGGAAATGGAGAAGCCAAAGAACTTATATGTATGACTCAAGGACATGAACTAATGGGGGGGAACATGATTGGGGGAGTAAGTTCAGGGCAGAGGGGGTAAAGGGGAGAAAAAAATTGGGACAATTGTAATAGTATAATCAATAATATATACTTTAAAAAATTGTTGGTATTGGGAAAACTGGACAGCCACATGCAACAGAAGGAAGCTGTATCACTCTCCCCTACCTCTCTTTGATTCCCACTACTTCTCTTACCCTCACTCACTCCCCTGGCCACCATCCAGCTTAGAGCCTCTGAATGGCTTTTTTCTCTATTTGGAATCCAATTCCCCCAGATATTCACATCACCATCTCCTTGAAATCCTTTCTCAAATGTTACCTTCTCAATGAGATATTTCCCTATCTCTATTTAATACCCACCATCTTTCACCAGCACTCGCGAACTCTTATTTTGGTCTACTATCCCAATGTAACCTGAGGCAAGCAGAACCGTTCTTGATATCTAGCAGGTGCTCAATAAATACTTACTGAAAGAATGAAAAAAGGATTTGATGCAACTGACAGTACAAATGCATGCATTGCACTGCATGGTATCAAGTATGTTGAGCAATTTTTTGAAAAGGATTAAATGTAAAATTGGAAATCAAAGATTGTAGGTGAAAAAATTATAAATGAATTCAAGTTTGTGTCACTGAACTTCCTGTAGCCATTTAACTGTGTGTCTGTGTGTGTATATAAATGAGAGGAAGAGAGGAGAGATGGGAGACAGAACAGGGAAGAGGAGAGAGAGAAATCAATCTAATATACATAAACTTTTTTGGAGGAGGAACTTTCTCTGTCACTAAATTCTGGAAGGAATTTGTCATGTTCCTCAATATATAACATGGATCCATATATAAGCAACACTGAGTACCATCAAATGATTTTTCTAAAAGCATTTTACAGAAGAGGCAGAAATGCTGTTGATATGGTAACTTCCTATGCTGATCTTAAATGAAAGCCAGTGGTAGAATATAAAGTTATAACTGAGTCTGTTCTACGAGGAGTGGGCACATTTGATATGCAGACGGCACTTTCTATGGGACCTGGATGGGTCTCACCTTTACTTTAGTTGTGTCTCAACTTTTCCTTGTATTTACTTACTTCTCTCACACTTGTTGTAGAATTCTCTGAATATTTCACTTGATATTGAAGTTGAAAAGGTACCAGTGTTGAACTGGACCAAAAAATCTTTAAGTTACCACTGTCTGTGATTTCCATATGCAAACCTGATGGTGGATCTGGCTTCACTTTAAAAAAAAAAAAGAAAAGAACACTTTTAAGTCAAGGAATTTTTATGATAACTATTAAATGAAGTCAAATTGAATTTTTAGCACATCCCATTCTTTCAACTACTTAAAAAGTGACCTTATTCAATAGCCAATTACGTAACCAAAATATTGGATCTACTCTTTTATATCTTATCATAGCAATCTCATTTCCTTCTTCCTAAGTGACAAAAACTATAAATTAGTAAATAAAATTATTTTGATAAATGTGAATTCCTGCTGTTAAAGAAGTTGTCTTCACTTTATTCAACTTGGCATTTCCCAGACTTATGAAGCCTCCCCTCCACTACATCCACTCACTTGTTTTGGTGGATAACAAGAAAGAAAGCATTTTGCAGAGCCCTATTTGAAAAATGCCTAAAATCTGCATGCAAATTAATGTGAATATGCATGCAAAAGTCAGAAAATTTCCTTAACTTTAAATTAGAACAACCCAGATACACCTATTGAAATAACTCACAGCATGCATATTTTGCATGTAATAAACACAGAATGAGCAGACCTTGCCACCAGAAATGGGGATGGAGTTTCTCAGCCTAATGGGCTCTCTACCCTGGTAACTGATTTCTGAGTTCATATGTATACATGTGTGTTTATGTATGATATGCATTTTCATATATAATATGTGGGGTTATACATCCATGTATATAATGTGTTGTTATGACTCTGTTATGTTTTAAACATATAACAGAACCTTTAAATTATTTGCAGAAACAATGTAAACATATTACAATAAAGAATTGAATAAATTTATGGTTCATCCTTATATGGGTAATCTATATAGCTATTAAAAATCATATTAGATAAGACTATTGAAAATGTTTAATATTGCTAGTTTTAAAAGTTTATTAAACATCTGTATTGAATTCCTGATTTGTTATAATTAAGTAAAAAAACATATATATGTACCAAAAACAGGAAAAATGCCAACATGATAGAAAACAGATGATGCATTTTTCTTCTTTGTGCATTTGTTTCAAGGTTTTTACAATTAACAGAAAATAATCATTATACTGAACATTTACTAATTTGAGTTTTATTTTCAAGAAATAAAATGGCACAAATATTTTTATATTCTATCTTTTTAGAAATTTGGATGTAATTTTTCTCTTTTCCTTGAGTCAAAATTAACAGTTTTTACTTTATGCAACATACTGCAAGTTGTATTTACTTTAAAGAAGGCACAGTTAAACATTAAAGTCTAAAAAAACAGGTAACATTCACGGGGTTCCATGACCAAAAACAAAACAAAACAAAACAAGACACGACTCTAAATCATAAAATATAAACCATATACAATCCCATAAACACCTGTATGATAGAGACACCCAAATAGCTCTCTCCTCTGAACTCTCAGCTCATATATCCTACGGTCTACTCAACATTTCTCAGGTTTCTATCTCAAACATAATGTATCAGACACCTAATCCTCCCCAAAGTGCCCCATCTCAGTATCTGGTACCACCCTTCACCGGCATGCTCAGGTCCAAGCCTAAGTGTTATCCATGAGTCCTCTCTATTCTTCACGCTCCATACCCAATCCCCTAGAAGCTTCAGTCTGCACCATATTCCCAAATAGATCCCAAGTCGGATCATTATTTCAATTCTCCACTGGCTTAACCCTACGCCCGCTGGACAACTCCAACAGTGGCTTGGCTGGGTGTTCTGCTTCCACTCCTGCAATCATTCAATACCTCTTTCCCATCTATTTATTTCTCCGCATACAGAGTAAATTTTAAATATGCAAATATGCCCCCCCACACCTGCACACACCTGGCCATATGGCTCTCCTGATTCGAAAGCTTCCTGATTGCACTAGAATCAAACCCAAACTCTGTAACTGTGGCCTGTGATATGATCTGAACACAGACAGCTCTGACCACATATCCAAATATTCTATCTCATTCACTCCAAGCACAATGGCTTTCTCTTTGGTTCCACCAACGACCAAGCTCATTCTATTTCAAGGGTTTAGTGAGTGCTATCCTTCCTGTTTGGAGTACCTTTTGCTCTGGATTTTTGTATGGCTATCTCTTCTTCATCAGCTCAAATTCTATGTCCTTAAAGAGACTTTCTGTCACCTCTTCAGCTGAAATAATAATCCCCATGCCTAACAGTCTCCATCACCACCTGCCACTTCTTTCATGACATGATTTTTGGACATTATCATATACACCCAAATATGTGGAAAAATCCCCAAAGTTATCCCTAAAGGAAGACAAAATTATTTTTAAAGTTTTTATATAGTCTCTCATAGCCCTTTCTCCTTGTTTTAAAAAAACAATTCAATTCTAGCTGGCTCCAAATGTTTCTGAAAAATCATCTCATAGAACTGGTTTTAAAAAGAGACAATAATATTTAATAAAGTTATCTTCATGACTGAATTCCTTATGTATCATTGTAATTATGCTGTGAGATCATAAATACACCCCTGGTGGACAAATTATTTGAAAGTCCTCATGTTACCATATAATGTCATATGCAGATTCAAAACATGATATATCCCCAATAACTTAGAAAGTGGAGGGAAAATGTATCAGAAAAGTCGCTCAAATGATGTCAAAACAATGATGCAAAGATGCATATAAAGAGCTTGTATATAATTACTTAAGGAAATATGACTAGAAAATAGTTACACTGTTAAATTACATGTATTGTATATAATATATAATTTAACATGTAAACAAAACTGAGTAAGTTGAATAGTTTAAGTTAACATTTACTTATGTTAGTCACATTTGTACTGGTATATTCAAGTTCATCAAAAATAAATTAGGGGGTATCTTTGCACTAAAAATATGGGGTATTACCTATTATTTCAGTTTTTCTTGTGATCAAATTTGTATAGCAAATTACTCCTTGTTTATGTGTTTGTTTACCTCGGTGCAGCATTATTTATCCCTGCTCCATGAGGCAAGAACTTTGTATCATTCACCACTGTTTTTCCCAGCTCCCAAATCATGAGCCTCTAAAAACTATGTTTTGAAAAAATAAATTCCAGCAAACAAAAACTTCTAATTATTTTTATAGTTATCTGAGATAAAAAAAAAAGTAATAACCGAACAATCATATCCATTAGACAGATCCAGAATTTAAAGAAATCAATCTGTTTTCAAGAAAGAATTCAAGTTCCAGCTGCAAAAACAACAGTACTACTGGTAAGTCCTTCCAGAAGCTGCTCTCGGTACTCCCTGGCCCTACATTTATTGTGCCATCACTCAGCACTGGTCAAAGTGAGACACGCTAGTGACAGAATTCGTAATCGGGCTTCAACGCATTTGTACGACTGATGTTTCAGATCTGTGATATTTCTTAGGCACAACTTACCGATATTCATGGGTTGGACTGACATGAGAGGTGACTGAAACACTATTCCAGCCAATGAGATTCTTAAGTACATAAGAAGAGTGGCATTGAGTTTGGCTGCTGGCACAGACACGCGGCATTCACAACCTCCTTGAGCGCTGCAGTTGCATGGAACGGGCTGAAAACCGCCTGTCTCAGGGTCCGACGGTGACTCTTCTAACACATCAGACCTTTGTGAAAGGAAGAGCCACATGTTAATATAGATGTGAAGGTACTGGGTATGTTTAAAATGTAGGATATGAAACCCAAATTGAGATAACCTATTCTGGACACCCAGCTTAAAGGGCAAAGGCAAAAAAGGTAGGTTATATCCGGGGAAAAAAGATAAGGGTTAAAGCAGGTTAGCCATCAGAAATAATACAAGCAAGAAGGTAAGTCAAGCAATGGGGAAATACTACAAGGTAAGAAAAAATGCTACCCTAAAATCGTATGCCCAGTCTGAGTATCTTTCAAAATAAGCATGAAATAAAAGCCTTTGTTTAGATATACCAAAACTGAAAGAATTCATCACCATGAGACCTACATTATAAAACATGCTAAAGAAATTCCTTCAGGAAAAAAGAAAATGAACGATAGAAGATGAAAGTCTGGTCCTACACACAAAAAATAAAATTTAACTAAAAGGATAAGTATTTACTGACCATACAAAACAAAAAGTATTACCATGTAATGTGGGGTTTGTAACATAAGTAGAAAGTTAAATGAATGATGTCAGCACCAAGCCTGGGGAAAGAGGACATGTGTTGGTGTGCAGTGAAGTGTGCAATATCCCTTGGAGGTATAACATCAGACTACAGTAAGCTAAAGACCTATATTATAAACCAAAAAAGCATCCACTAAAATAATAATACAAGTTATAGCTAGTAAGCTACAACAATCAAGTCAATGGAGTGTTAGTGTAAAGATAGAAAAACAGATTACCGGAACAGAATGGAGGCCAACACCTACGTGGACGACCAATTTTCTACAAAAGTAAAAAAAAAAAAAAAGCAGTTCTGTGGAGAAAGGGTAATTGTTTCAATGAATTGTGCTGGAACAATGGGATACCTATATTCCAGGGGGAAAAAAACCCTTCGATCCATACCCAACACCAGATCCACAATTAATTGAAAATAGATCACCAATTCAAACGTAAAACCTAAAGCTATGAAACTTCCAGAATAGAACATGGGAAAAAATTTTGTGACCTTGAATTGGATAAAAATGTGTCAGTCTCAACACCAAAAGCATGATTCATAAAAATTAAATTGATAAAGCGACTTCTATCAAGACTGAAAACTTCTGTTCTTTGAAAGGCATTATGAAAATACAAAAAGACAAGCCATAGATTGAGAGACTGTTTTGCCTGTCATCTACCCAATAAAGCACTTGTCCAAGAAGATATAAAGAATGCTCAAAACTCAGTAACACTAAAATTAACAATCCAATTTAAAAACAGGCAAAGCCCAGGCCGGTGTGGCTCAGTGGATGGAGCACTGGACTGTGAACCAAAAGGTCCCGGGTTTGATTCCCAGTCGGGGCACATGCCTGGTTTGCAGGCCCCTCCCCGAGTTGGGGGCGTGTGAAAGGCAGCATTCGGTGTATTTCTCACATATTGATGTTTCTCTCTCTTTCTTTCTCCTTCCCTTCCCCTCTCTCTAAAAGTAAGTAAATAAAAGCTTAAAAAAAATACACAAAGATGTCAACAGTTCGTTCACTGTAGAAGATATAAGAATGAAAATGAGGCCCTGACCAGCATGGCTCAGTGTGAACAGGAAACAACATTCACAGACATTTTAATGTACAAAGCAGTCTACTACTACTAGACACTGTGTAAGGAGTAATACTGTGGTAAAAAGCACACTAAACACTGAGACTTAAACTCAAGTTCATCCATTTGCTGATTGAGCCATAGACCATAGCCATGTAGGAGTATGTTGTGAGCCTCAGCTTCCATCAGCAATAAAACAAAGAAAAGGCTGCACCATCTATCTTTTCAAGGTTGATGTAAAAATCAAAGAAAATTACATGAAAGTATTTCTGAAAACTTGAAGTGCTATACACACATAAAATACTGTTTTTAATCAGAGGTGGGATGACTTCTCATTTTTGATGTTTTGTAAATCTTTATACAAAACCAATAATTCAATTTTTAAAAAAATATCATGACATGCATGGCTTTTATGTGTTTTTCACGTATTAAAATAAAAAGCTTTTATCCAAAAATGTATGGAACAAGATAAATAAATTGTGGTATTTTGTGTCAGAATCTTTGACTGAAGTACTACCAAATTTTAAGGCCAAAAAAATAAAAAATAAAAGAACTGAACAGGAAACAAGACACACATTCTTGACTAATATTTTAAAAGACAGGAAATTCTAGTGGTATTTAAAAGAAAACAAAAACAGTTAAAATGATACCCTCTGACTCAGGCGGTCTTGCCCATGCTGTCCTTTTCCAAATATGGCAGATGCGGTAGAGGGGAGCTGACTGCCAATTAGAGTAACTGGTTTTCTAACACTTCACTGTCATGTGTTCTGTTCAATCAATCTTTATTTTCTCTATTATTTCAACATATTCAAATAAAGTAAACTACATGGCAAATATTCATTGCTTATAATGACTATATATAACTACATTATATATTACTGTGAATTTATAACTTGTCTTTTCTTAAGAGCACCTCTATTCAGAAATTTCCCAAACCACCCCAACAGACAACCCTATCGTGAATCCGTAAGAATCAATCTAAAACTAATTTAAGGATGTTGTAAGCAACAGCCACCAAACTACAGCCCTTAAGCCAAACATACCTGTTTTTTGTACAGCCTATGAGCTAAGAAAGGCTTCTTACATTTTCATATGTTCTTTTAAAAAAGGGGGAAAAAAGAAAACTGTTCTGTGATGGATGAAAATGACTTGAAATTCAAATTTTAGTGTCCACAAACAGGGTCATGCTCATTTGTTTACATATTAACTGTAGTGCAAGGTTATGGCCTACACAATCTAAATCATTTACTACCTGGTCCTTTAAGGAAAATAAGTTTTTAATACCGGCTATAGGCCAAAATACTTGGTACTCTTTCCTGGTGGGCACTGGATGGGCAAAGGATGCAAAAACAGAGAAATCACATGAAATATATCAACTTTCATTTTACAACATTTTTATTACTTACACAACATCTTAAGGATAGATATCTATTACAATGTTTCAAGCCACCTTATGGGGGAACTAGCATCACCTACTTAATAGGTAAGAAACTGAGGCTCAGAGAGACGGTAGACCTGAAATTCACATGAAGTCTTACGTTTCCATCTTCAGTGCTCATTTCATTACACCCAAGATCCCTTACTATTACAAGATAAAATTTTTATTGCTACTGTCATTTATTTAGAGGATTAATGAAGACTTTAGGGGCCACAGTTAAAGAATCTTTCATCTGAGTTGTGTTAATATTTCTATAAATCAGAACATTAGAGAATAAAATAATTATTATATGTTAATTTATCCAGAGGAAAATTGTAATTATCTTTGATATTTAAGAGAGCACAAGTTCCTGGCTGGTGTGGCTCAGTGGATTGAGCACCAGACTGTGAACCAAAGGGTTGCAGGTTCAATTCCCAGTCGGGGCACATGCCTGGGTTGTGGGCCAGGTCCCCAGCATGGGGCATGCAAAAGGCAACCACACATTGATGTTTTTCACCCTCTCTTTCTCCTTCCCTTCCCCTCTCTGTAAAAATGAATAAGTATAAATCTAAAAAAAAAAGAAAAGAGGGAGAGAGCAGAAATTTTTCCACGTTTGTGTGCAACCTGGAAAATAACAGCTTTGTTACTTGCCAAAGTCTGCACAAAAACTCCTTTACCTTCAAAAAGACTTTTTAAAGTTTTTAAGTATTTATAAATATCAAATTATACTCTAAATACTTGGTCATTGTAAACTATAAGGATTAAAATGATAACCAGTATTTTTTTTAAAAAAGAGATACACTGGCTTCAAACAACCAAACTTAAGAATTACTAAATTTCTTGAAAAATTTTTATACAGCAAAATATTTTATGCCTTGTCAGTGTACATAGGTGCACATACACACTCAGCACTTCTTTTTAACCTCACTTTACTTGAAAGTGCAAACAGTAAAAAAAAATTTTTATCACATAAATTTTAAATTTGGCTTATTTGCAAATTTCATCATTTGGCCCAATTTTCCACTCAGAATTTACATATATCTATATATATGTATGTATTTAGTAGTGAAATTCCACTTTCGGTAGCCACAGTGATTTATAGAGAGCACATTCTGTCCTCTGAACTTTATTCAAATGATTTGTTTCCAAAATACTGTTCTATGAATATATTAAAACTTCTATAAACAAAGATTTATATTAAATACTATAAAATAACACCAAATTGGTGCCATCCAATTTCTGATTGTGACATAACTTAGAGTAAAACATAGTGGACACACCAATGAACAGGAATTGGAAAATTCAGTATCAGCTTTGCATATAATTTAATCAAGTCATTTATGTTAAATTTCAGACTAGCAATCCACATGAATGTTATCCAAAAAGCCTACTTTGCCAATCCCAAATAATTTCGAAGACCAGATTAGTGTCCCAGGCCCGTCTCATCATAAGAATCACCCAGAGACTTGTTAAAAAACAAACTCCTAGGCCCTCCTTGAAGAATTAAGTAGGTTTGGTGCTAAGGCATCTGTTTCTAATGAGTCATTGATCAGTAGTTGTCAAAGCCTTAAAGCATATGAAATTAATAAAGAACCATAAGATGGGGAAGGAATCCTAATTAACTTTGGAATTAGTATTTTGACCATGTAAACTTCAGCCTTAGTAAAGCCAAAATAAGTCTAAACAAATATTATACTCTAATTAGTATGTTTATTTTTCATAGTGGTACTAGTTAGCAATTTCAAAATTACTTCACATGTATTCTAAGACTGAGCAAATAAGTAATATATTGTGGGAAAGGGAAGCCAAGTTTTCTTACTACTGGAGAAAAGGGTTATGAAAAGGAAGGAAGGAAGGCAGGAAGGGAGGAGGGAGGGAGGGAAAGAAAGAAAAGAAAGTCTAGAACAGATCCTGTGGTTTTAGGCTAGAATGGGAGATATTATTATGAACACAAGCTTTTAATGTATGGATATACCAATAGATATAGATATATAGATTTGTAT